AGGGGAGCTCTTCAGCATCCTTCTTGAGCAGCAGCTGATTGCAAGCGGCGAGGTATCGTTTCTTGAAGGCTTGCTTGCGAGCATTAAAAGAGAAGATTTGGTCTCGCAGCTGAAGCATTTCGTAGAGGAAGGGGAAGCTAATGCTCCTGATGATCAACCAGATGTGCATGAAAAACGTAGGTGGATTATTTTTTTAACACCACCACCCCACCCCACCCCACCCCCGCCCACCGCTAAGGGTGTTTCTGCTACTGACTGCTGCCCGGGGCTGTGTTGTACCTGGAGACGTACCGTGAGGGCAGCATATGCTGCAGACAGCTTTCCGGAGCAGAAATTTCTTCCCTTCTTGTATCAAATGGTCACTTGGAAATCCCGCTGTGTACTTGGGAATCCGACTATATCCAGCAGCTTTTCAGACGTGGTATGACCTTCAGTGTGTGCAATGCAGCAAGAGTGGTAGAGTTTTGCTTAAAAAAAAAAAAAAAAAAAAAATTTAAAAGTTGTCTCATTTCTTAGTGAATGCATCACTAACTTGATACATTTCTGCTATTTCAGGTCTGCTGAAGGCAGCTTTTGAAGTCATATGTGAAAATGTCGGGAGAGACTGGAAAATTGTGATGCGAAAACTTGGCTTTTCTGAAGTGAAAATGGACAGAGTAGTGGCAGCTAATCCATTTAATTTGCGGGAACAGTTGGCTCAGTCACTTCGAGAGTGGCAGAAATGGAAGGGAAGAGATGCAAAGGTGACTGACTTAATAAAAGCTCTTCGGGGCTGTAATATGAATTTGGTGGCAGACAGAGTTGAACAGAAGCTCTTGTCACTGAACACTGGAACCAGGTGAAATCAATATAAAAACACTTCTATATCCCACACATGGGGAAGAAGGCAGAGAAGTAGAGGTGCCTTCTACTCTTCTGAAGCAAAATCAATATCATTGATTCTTATTGATTACTTATTCTGCCATTAATTTATGTGTCTTACTAGGTTGATTTGTAGTCAGATGAAGATTAACATAAAACCAAATTCCTTTCAGGTAATGCTTTGTAGTTTGATGCTTCCTTTAAGAAATTTTAACTTTTAGAAGACCTAAACTCCATTTTGTAGAAATTCTCACACTTTTGTTCTACCACCTACCTGAAAACAAGATTTGCTTTACTGCAGGTACTTTTCAGATATATCTTCTCTGAAAAGACATCCATGGGACGCTTCTGAGGCAACTGTAATTTATTAAAATTTCACAGGGATGTTGGATTTTTTTTTTTTGTGGCCTATTATAACTGTAGTGTGAAAGGGAAAAGGAGTAGACCTCTTAGCTGTGTACTGGGTTTTCTTTTTGAGTAGCATAAGATAATACCTTCCATAATTTGTTGAATACACTTGCTCTGCGTAAAAGGATACTAAAACAACTGTAACCTCAGACCCTAAGACTGCAGTGCAAGAGGGCTAGTAACTATTGTGGTGGCTTTTTCTTGGCAGAAAATGTGCCCGGGTTCAAAATGAACTAGTTGAAATCAAATGTCTGTATCAAGTGCCTTCATCATCCTGAAGGAAATGTTCGCCTGAAACTATCAAAGAAATTGTGTGTGTCTCTCAGATGTTTACAGCAGCCTCTTTTTACTGCCGTGGATGTTCTAAGATTGTTTACTAGGAATCCTTTTGTCACAGAGTCAGGTCATGTCTGCTGGAAGTTGCAGCTCACCTCATAAGTAAGCCGCAGTTATCTGTGCTCTTGGTAACAGAAGTGTGTACTGTAACAAAAACCTAGAAAACAAATTGGTTTCTTTTTAGTGGAGGGGTGTGAGAGCCTACTGAGAGCAAATGTATAATACTGACTTTCCTCTAGCGATACCCAGTGAAGGTGAGCTGTCTTTTGCCACAGTTTGTTCTCTTCAAAGGTCGCTCCAGATCCAATAGCTCTTCCAAGTTCTCTGCAATTTTTTAGTTCATTCCTATTCCTTTACATTTTTTGAAAGTGATTGTAAGCAACTCGCAGAGGAAGGAGGATTTATGAACGAGACCAGATTCAGTTTTCAGCTTTAATTTGGAACAGACCTCAAAAAATGGCCTTCACGCCTAATGTAAAACTGGAAGAATTGCACAAGCTTCAAGACATGCAGGGCTGTAGAGGCCTCTGGGGACTATCCCCTGTGCGAGGGAGAAAAGTTCTTTGAAATCATTATTGCTTGAATGAGTAGGATTGTTTGTTACTGCAAACATCCTTCTAACTACATAAATAGATACTTGAAGAAGAGAGGCTTCTTTTTTGCTACTGTACCTGTGTGACTTTTAGCTCCTTTCAAGTTCTTTTTACATGGTGCAATTACTGTGAAGGCTAGGTGCCAGCATATAATATACCACTACTCTGCATAAATGTGGTGACATTGATAACTTTCAAGTTTTTGTTGCAGTTGGTGCCTTTAGTTTAGATGATGACACTTGAATAATTGATTGTAGTTAATGGAAACTGCTGTAATGTGAACTTACCTTTTTATTAAGGTTTTTTCTTAAATGATTCTCACAAGTATTTTTCTAATCGTAGTATTTCAATATCAGGGATTGTATACAAGCAAAGGAGCAATGGGTAATACAGAAGTTCCCACTTGTCCACCTTTTGGGCAGGTGCAGTTCTTCAAGTACTTGGTCCAATACCTGTCAGTATCGATTGTCAATTCCAGGCTTCCAGTAGGAGATAACGGTGCTGCACTTCAGCTAAATGATGAGCTCAAAAGGTTTTTGTTTCATAGATACAGTCTTCATTCTACAGTATTTAAAGAAAATGATTGCTTCTGACTTTTTTCCTTCGTGCCTCTAAGCAATCTTTGTGAGCAGAGTGGAGTAGAAGTGAAGTTAGCAAGATAAGTTGTATTTGTGGTGAAACAGCTCTGCAACAGTTCCAAGTTCAATCTGTCCAGAAACATGGTTTTTGTATCCACTTGTAGTAAGTCTTCTGGTTCACAGAAGATACTTTTATCTGGAATTTGAAAAGAAGTATCCTGCCTACTGTATATAACCAGGAGATTTTAAGAATCATTAGGAATAACTTGTTAGTTGTAGCCAAGCACTCATCAGCTACGAGAAATATTCTGCCTCAGACAATAAAAACCTCTTGTTTCTTTAAGGATTTGTACTTAGTGGATATTTTACTGTGTATGAAAGCAATGAACTAGACTGCATCAATCTGTGCAGTACCTCAGGGCCAATTAAAACCTGGTTTTATTAGAGATTAAAAAGATGATTCTGTGAGAACAAAATCAAATGGAACAAAATCTTTTTATTGGGAGGAGGGGTAAGGAAAAAGGATGCAATTTTTAAGGAAATGTGTTGTGGTCCAGTTAGCAATCTTTTATTTTCAAATGGAGTATTTTTGACTCAAATATATGTATTTTTATAACTTGAATTACAGTTTTATATTGTATAATTTTGTGCACATTTCATTAAAAAATACTTCCTTAAAAACAAAATAAATTTAACTGGTTTTTTATATTATGGGATTGCTGTCTATGATGAGATCTCTAATTATGAGAAGATAAATGTTAAAGACACTTTTAAAGCAAGGAGTGGTGCTAAACAGGCGTTATGTTACCAATGTCCTTCTTGGAACATTAAAAAAAAAAAAAGCAAAAAGCTTTGTCACTGAATTTCTCAGAAGTGCTAAAAAGGCTGTAGTTCTCCTAGCAGGAGTAGCATTTGAATGCTGTCACTCAGGGAAGTGTAAGAAAATCAATTCTATGCCAGCCCTCAGGAGCCTAAAATGGCGTCGCAGTGCAGCGCATGCATGGCAGATAGGCCTTCTGTGAGTAAATCCCTTACTGTTGTTTTCCTTATTTTTCCTCTGCTCGTCATGCTGTGGTAAGGATGTTGTATTTGTTTTACAATTAATTAAAAACATAGCTTATTCTAAACCTGTTCAGGCTTTTAGAGGATGTGTTCAAAAGTTAAACTCATAGAGGCCTCAGTGTTCTGTGAAGTATTTACTGGCACTGATGTGTTAGTGCGCACTTAAAGCTTTGAATGCATAAGACAAGTAACTTAATCACCCATTTTATCAAATTCTCAAGGATACTCTGCAAGAGTATCTGCCTGTGAGGAACTACTAAAACCTTTTCCATTCGGTCTCTTGAGAGTCTTGTTTCCCTACAGCCTTGAGAAAACAACACATCAAAAAATGTTGAGAATAAAAAGTGTCATCTCGGGAGAATTCTCATTTTGGAGGATTGTTTTGCCATGTCGCTTCACAGTCCCTTTCAGTACTTGCTTGCCATTTCCTGTGATTTTTGAAGATATCAATTATATATTGCATATTAAGTTTTTTTTTAAAAAAATTGCATTATTTTCATTACTGAGTTAAGAGAAGTTTTCTAGATTTTTAATTAAAATTTCCTCTTGTACAAATTGGTTGTCATGCATATTTCAAATGCGATGCTTTGTTTTCCTTTTTCTCCATTCCCCAAACACAGGCAGCTGTATTTCCTCCAGCCTTTGTTTCAGTCCTAAAATAATTGGCTACTTTCTGAAATCATGGAA